CAATGATTAAACAAATACGTAATATAGAGAAACTCATTAAACAGTACTATGAATAATGTAAACACTTTCCCTATGTGATGGGGACGATTGTCAGAGGTACAATAATAATTCAGTCATATTTTGCCAAATCAAAGTAGGAATGTTAGGATCCCTTGTTTCCAAGACAATCTCAGTACCCACAACCCTTACACGTGTCCACAGTTTCGTCGCCTGTAGTTAGTCCCAGAATTGCCCTACGCTTTTCATGAATGCGGGTAGGTTAGTTTGGATACTTTCAAGACCCATTCAAGAATTTTCGAGCGCCGTATACCACCTCACGGTCTGCCATATGAATACACATGTAGCGGTTATTGATTGCGGGGCAGATGGCTTGTGTTGTCTTTGATACTCAGACGTGAGTAGTCTGTGAACGATTTTAAAGTACATATTGTCATCTTGATCTTCAGTGAACCTGAGTGAATTCACCCTAAAATTTCTCAATGTAGTTTCGGTGTTTTCTTGTGGTTGTTCTGAAATACCGTTGCACAAGAGGTTTGATTTCCTGTCATGTATATCCTTAAGGATAACTTGTTTGTCAGGAACTGATTTGGCTTTTCGTAAATCGGCTATTTCCATGTGGAGAGATTTCAAGTCGTCGCCATGTTGTGAAACCACGTGTTCTACTCCACTAACAGTTTGCTTAATGTCTGATATCTCATTTTAATAGAGTCAATGGAGGCTTGTAAATACTCCAATTTCCTCCATCATGTTTGCCGAAGCACGTGTTGCTCTCGTCGAGTCGGACATTCATTGTAGGTTCACACGTTCGTATGGAAATAATAATCTTCCAAAATATTAAGTAGATAGTTTGTTGGGTATTTAAGACAAAATTTAGAGATTGTAATTGAGCCAAATTCCACGACATAATCGCGCTCCGTAAACATGATTGAGAATATCTTTGCGTTCTACAGTTACTTGTTGATATGGAAGAAATGTTTCTTAGATTACAACTACTTTTATTCAAATACTCTACCTGGTACAAGATCGGTCAGATAGTCAGGAGTCAGACGATGATACATATTATACATGTAGAAAGTATTGAGTTTAAAGAGATTTCTTATATCTTACAATGTGCTGTAATTAGTTTCTCTGTATATTTTATCGTGACTGGTGCCACAAAGCACACTGCATATTGTTCTTAATGCGTCTAAGGGCAAATTTTCAATAAAATCGCCTTTTCAGTCGTACAGTTATCCCATATATGACAACAGTAATCAAAAAGTGGTAACGTAAAGGACTATATAAAGTATTTTACGGTTTTCGAGTTAAACGGTATTTTAAACTTTTCAGACAATTGATCATTGGACTAATTTTCTTTACCATGCAATGTTTCTTTATCATGTACTTTCCAAGAATAATCGCTTTTAAGTGTAATACCTAAGTATTTATGGATTTCAACTTGTTTAATACTTTCATAATTCATTAATAAATTTGGCATTTACTGTATTGATTATTCTACATTTACTGTAGAATCGCCAGGCATAAATCCAGATTTGGTAGAATAGTAGTTAGGTAGTTTGATAGAATATTGTTATCTCTGAAAAAGTTGGAAACGTATTCACGAAAGCATTTTTCAAAAGCTTTAGCGTCACAGCTAGTTAGCGCAACTGGTCTATAATTTGAGCAATCATGTCCATCACCTTTCTTTTGAAGAGGAGTTACGGAAGCTAGTTTACAAGATGAAGGGAAAGTTTTATTACGAGTGAGTGAGTGAGTTGAGTTTTAGGTCGCACTTAGCAATATTCTAGCTATATGGCGGCAGTCTGTAAATAATCGAGTCTGGACCAGACAATCCAGTGATCAACAGCATGAGTATCGGCCTGCGCATTTGGGAACCGATGACATGTGTCAACCAAGCCAGCGAGCCTGACCCCCCGATCCCGTTAGTCGCCTCTCACGACAAGCATGGGTTACTGAAGGTTCATTCTAACCCGGACCTTCACGGGTAGTTTTAATACGAAGGGAAAGGTTAAACAACTTAGCTTACAACGACGTTATAGCCAATGAAGATAATTGCAATACAATCTTTCCAATGCCATCAGGCATAGTGGCTTTTGATGTATCTAAACTCAAAAAGTATATCGAACATCTCCAATCCTTATTGTGATTGATGACAAAGGATTGATCGATTTCACGCAGTTCGATATCAGGCAGATCAGCATTAGAATTAATTAACAACTTAGGATTGCCCTGAGTTGAGTTGAGTACATCCGCTATATCTTGTTCATTGTCATAAACTATGTTATTGGAGACAATTGAGAGAAACAATGATTTAACAGAACTTGTTTTTATATAACTCTTAACTGATCGCCACCACATTTTAGTTCCATGAGTATGAGTATTATTTATAGTGAGTGAGTGAGTATGGTTTTACGTCGCTTTTAGCAATATTCCAGCAATATCACGGCGGGGAACACCAGAAATGGGCTTCACACATTGTACCCATGTGGGGAATCGAACCCGGGCCTTCGGCGTGACGAGCGAACGCTTTAACCACTAGGCTACCCCACCGCCCAGTATTATTTATAGTTTCATTTAACAGAACTTGTTTTTATATTATTCTTAACTAATCGCCACCACATTTTATCACCATGAGTATGAGTATTATTTACAGTTTCATCACGTTTTGCATTTCTAACGCTTGATACTACTTTTTTAAGGTGCCTTCTGAACCTAAATAACCATTAGGACGGTTTCGTTTTTTCAGCTGTCTTATGTACGCGATTGCTTTCCTTATTAAGGATCGGATTTTGTTATTTGTCCATGCCGGAACTTTGGTTCTAATTGTTACAGTTTTGTGATTTAAACATATTTATTTCCAAAGAAAGGAACCGGATTGGTAAACAAGCATAAGCTTATATGAATACCGCTCCGGGATACAATGGAAGGAAGAGTAAACATGTCATGATGAATGTACAATGTGTATGATATATAAACGTTGCAAAATAACGCCAATCATTGTTAAACAGTATATGTCATATAAACAAACAGTTTTATGTGGGATATATTCATTCATGATATTCATTATTAACGATGTAAGATTTTCAGTGATATTATCAACGTTCTCCGAAGAGAAAAGTATGTCTGAGTTTATCCCGTTAATACTTTCATTCATACCATTAACATCTGCTGAAGAATAATCATAGATTTTCCTTTTGAATGAATTATTGTTCTATACAGTTTCTGTTATATTAAGGAACACCGGCCAGTGATCACTGCATATAGGATCTAATACACCAGAATCTCTAACAACGTCGACGAGAGATGCAAATATAAAATCGATAAATGTTTTACTACTTAGGGTTATTCTAGTAGCATGCATGATTATCCGTCGAAGACTTTTGATTATATCCATAAAGAAAATCAATATTGAAATCAGCACTTATAATCGTCAGCATACTAAGATCGACTGCGATGTGTATTGATTTATCAAACAAATGCCAATATTCGGAGCTTTTGTCGGCGCGATAAAAAGTTCCAATCACGTAGTTTCTTGTTTTACATTTAACTTGTATCCATATCGCCTCAAGCCCGACTATATCCAAATCATTCATTAAGGACGCACAAATAGTGTCTTCCACATAGGCTGCTACACCGCCGCCACGAGTTTGTCTGTCTTTACGAAATGGTAAATGGAAGCCAGGGATTCTTACATCGATGTTGTTTGAATCGGAAGTTAGCCAAGTTTCTTTTACACATATTACATCATAGAATCCGAGTTCAATTTTTAAATACTTAATTTCCCTTTAAGACTACGGACAGTCTTTAATGGACAGTCTTTAAATATTTTAGTCATTTAGGTCCTGGATTGGGATGAATATCTCCACAACACAAAATCAATAAAACAATTAATGAAACGCAAGTACTAAACAGACATCGAAATTTGAATACATGTAGATAAAGCAAAAGTACCCACTGCCTGTCTGTATTGTGATATTTCAACTGACATCAAAATTCATAAACATACATCAAGTGAAGAGGCACCGGGTATTGGTAGTACATAAGGGTATACTAGGCATACACCAACAACATCAACAGTTTCGCACATAGTAGTTTCTATTTTGATACATAGTTCAATGTAGAATAAAAGCAAAGTAATGTAAGCATGAGTTTAAAGCTTTAACCGGTTGTGGTTATTAAGAAACACAACGACCATTTGAAATGGCATAACTCGTACGTTTATACACAGTGCTTAAACAGAAAACACAAGCACTGAATAGTTAGAGTGTATAAGAACATATAATAACGTACGCAACAGAGATATGGAAGGTAATATGAAAATACTAAATCATGGCATCACTTGAAGTTTTGCACATAGGTGACTGATCTACTAACAGTGATGGAAATATTTTTCCTTCGGTGCACATTTCTTTCCTTTTGAACAGAAAGGCGAAAATCCTTAATATATGTTCACCGTAGTTTTCATTATATGATTTACCAGTTTGAAATACACATATAAATAACAGAAGAAATAAAAGCTGAATCTGAATCTTAACTTAAGTATGCAACATTTTGTTTAATGATAAGTTACACACATACAAAAGAACTAAAGCATAAAGAAGTTCAGTTTTACAGATAACAATTTTTGAACAACTAGGAGAGTTCTATACAACTTCTTTAATATAATATAATATCGCTCATATTATATTAAAGAAGTTGTATATCCATAGAACTCTCCTAGCTGTTCATGGGATACACCCGAACCGGCCCCAAGCCGAACCGGCTCCTGGATATTTAACCCAAACCGGCCCCGCACCCGAACCGGCCCCTGGGTTAATTAACGGTAATCAGACAGACAATTAATCAGACAGACATGAAAATTCCAATTAATTTATTATATATATACAGACATGAAGATTTCAATTAATTTATTATATATATACGGACATGAAGATTTCAGTTAATTTATTATATATATACAGACATGAAGATTTCCTTTTCCTTATTGTGCCATCCTGAAGCTACTTCTTAGTTATGAGAGATGTTATTAGAATAAGGGTCTGGGATGGAGTCTTGATGCCCTGTGAATATTCTGTCCAGATGTCTTGTATCTGCTGGTTAAATGCCCTGGTCTTCCGCGATTGGTGGCGTGACAGTTGATCCCAGGCCAGCAACTGTGGTACCTGGGGTACATACAGGGCTTCTTTGTGAAGGAGGTTCACCAAAAGGAAGAACTCAAGGTTCCTTTTGCCGGCCGCCTGGTTGACCTTCTTGTGCCATCCTGAAACAGAGAAATAAAAAGATTAGACTCACATAACATCAGAAATTGTTATATTGCAAACTGTAAACGCAACTTAGTGTTAAAATTAGGAAAGAAAATTATATGGGAACTTACCTTCACAATCGTTGTTGGTCCTCACTGTCATGCCATACACGGACCAGCTGGTGATTGGCCAAACAGTTGAAAAAAGCCAGGTGTTCTCTTCATAGGTGCAAAGGGGGTACAGGCTCGTGTCTTCTGTTGTGGCTTTGATGGCGGCAAACTGGTCAGGAATGTGGCGGTGATGCAAGTAAGGCAATGCCATCAGCTTCTTGATTGTCCTATAGGATTCCTGTCCTTTGTGGAATTCGTTCTGCAAATAAACAGAATATTTATGAATATATATGACATATGAACTACATGAGTTTGCTGATTATTGTCTCACTAGTAACGCACTGGAATATACTTACATCAAGACCAAGGGCTTGCACTTTTCTCCGGATGGCCTGCTCCCAGTGAAATACGCATCCTCTGATCTCGACCATGGGTAGTAGCCCTCGGACGGCCCGCCATACCCCGCGCTCGAAGTCAGCCATCACCCGCTTGACACACACAGTGACTCCAGCCCTCCCATTTCTTCTGCAAGGGTAGAGAACACCTGGAAAAGGATATTTATTTATTAATATATCTATAAATGACCAATTTTGTTTTAATTTACTTAATGCGAAATTTAGAGTAGATTGTCATAGAAAATGTCCAAAAGCAACTTACCTTCCTGTAATCAATTTTTTGACGACGGGACATGAAAGCATATGCCATTGGGACTTGTTTCATCTCTCCGTTTTTGCCTAGGATGAAGACATGAATGGTATATAGTTGTTTGAAAGGTTGTCTGACAACTCTGAAGGTCCCGTCCATATAAATCAAAATAGTTACCTGTATTGCAAGTCCTGTGTTGCCATCGGTCACAAAAGTCACACTGCAGGCACTGTTGTCTTTCGCGGCATCTCAATGAGCAGTAAACGCAAGAATCGGACACGTTATCCATGATGAACAAATTATGAATCATGTCCTTCAGATAATGTCTTTTATAAGATTATACGCAAGGTGAAGATAACAGTATACTGTGCAGTTGACATTGCCACTCAAACCAGATAACAACTTTTGGTTTTTCACAAATATAGCAAGGTGTCGAACAAGACTCTTCCGGCGTCGTCAAGCTTGCTTGACTGCATCTACCCTACAGCAGAATCCAGAACTTAAGTGGCAAAACATGCTCGCAAAACAATGTTTGATAATAATTGTAGATTTGGGGGAGTATATATATGTATTATTTCTTTTTCCTGAAAATCCTGGTATGTAACATTTTGATGTGATTGGTGCCATGCGTCACGGCATTAATATTTGTTTACTGATTATTTGATTTGAATCAGATATATGCGTAATTATTTATTTCATGTTTTAATATTTCAAATTTAACCTACCTATGCATAGTTTTTCTCAGTAATAATCTCGCTACTTGTATATTTGTTCTTGAAACTTGCGTTTTCAAGAACGCAATAAGTATTTCAATGATCCTGTCCATGCTAAAAGTTAATGAACCAAAAAATGCCAGGATCATGGGGGGATGAAAATTACCTATATATTCACAAGACTGTATATTTTAAAATCGCTGTGTTTCAGTATTTTGAATTTGAAAGGCATTAGTTCAATGAGAACAATCTTTTTAAATGTTTAGTTGTCCTTATCCCGTTGGCAAACCCCTACTAATATGAACAATATTGTTCCTGTGTTCCCATAACCTCTCACCCGTCCCATGTATTGGCTATCTCAGGTGAAATGCGTTTGATACAGCACCATGACCTGGCTTACAATGTCGGATGTATGGCAGTTTATGATATAATTAATTTTTGCTTCCTTTACCTGGTGCACAAGTTGAATACATGAAGAATGCCGTTTCTTGTACGACAGGTATCGTTGCTGCTGCTGTTGTTCCTAGAGACAGAGTATGTGCCACACATTCTCCACTAGCGTCCCTGTATCCAAAGGACTTTATGACTCCAAAGAGGGAACAGCGCGAAGCACATTCGGCCCGGCTGGTCATGTTAGTCTTTGTCCACAGAACACCTACAGTAACTCTCTTGTTCTTGAAACCCGCCAATGGTTCTACTTTGCATTCATCACAAATAATGGCCGAATTTTTTACAAGACCGGCGCAACAACAAGTTATCATCAAGATCAATTGTATGCTCATAGTTGAAAAACCCTCTTCACCTTCTCAACCATAAACTGGCAATGACAACAATCCTGGTGTTCTGAAGACTGTTATAGCTCAACCAATCGATCGTTTAAAAAAATTTAAAACACGTTAAGCAACCTGACGTCTCACTTGCTGAGCCTGACAGGACCAATAGGCAGTTCTGTCTTGAATGGTCATGGTAACGTTAATGTGAGTATTGTCATGAAAGTGTAGGGAATAATACAAAACATGCACTGCAAGTAACTATCCAGTCGATGTTTTGTCTGAACTCAAGGAAGAGACTGTCTCTCTGGGGTCCCATAATAAGTGAGGAATATACTTGAAGCCATAAAAACCCAACGCTTCAACCCCACCATGAACCGGGATCAAGGTTATTTTATCTCCTCAGCCTTTCACCACCTAATTAAAGATCACCAGTAATGCACCCATACCTCGTCCAGTTGGCTTCTATGCTCTCTTTGTGTATTTTAATCACAACCTATCAATGTGTACATCAAACTACTCTCTTCAACACACGATTACCATCTCAGTGTACATCAACTCATCTATTGTATAAACTCATTCTGCATATTGTTTTAATCACCATCACTCTGTACATCAACCTACTCTGCTCAAATCACTAATTAGCAATCCATTGTATATCAACCTTGTCAATTGTATATACACACTATGCACTGACTATGCAGCTATGTATATATTCTCCATGTTACAACTCTTTGTATCACTTGCTTGATAACGGTGTTAGTACCTACACCGAAACGTCGCACTCATTGCAATAAAGAAGTTGACTATCCATAAAACTTGGTTTTCCTACTGTGAAGACCTTGGAGAAACATTGCTCGTGCATGAGTTTGTGAAAGATGTCACCTTTCCGCGAACTCCCGGTGCCAGCCCCAGTTGGAGGTGATTTATAATCACAAGCTTCGTCTATATCTAGTTTATAAGTACTGTTTTTAGTAGACATTTAATATGGTTATGGCAATAGTTATATCGTTTGTATGAATGAATATCAAGAATAATTTCAATATTTGGTATTTACTGTTGAAATCAACTGGGATGCGACCGGCAGCCGATACCTTGCCTTGCATGCACAATGTACGCACGCACTACCCGTCTTGTGAGGAACACGTGGTTCATACTAACAAACAATCTTAATCTTAACTGTGGCATATGCCACTGTCATTGGATCCAGAACAATATTTTCTCAACTACCAAATAATAGCTCGATTTTCACAGCAGAAGCTAACGCCATATTGACAGCTCTTAAATATATTAATAAACATCGTAAATATAAACAATACATCATCTTTTCCGATTCTCTTTCGTGTCTATTAAAAAATCTTTCTTGTAAACATCCACTTTTATTAGAAATTATTGAATTGTATAATGAGCTTGCTACTGGCCAATGCGACATCGTCTTTTGTTGGCTACCCAGTCACCTTGGCATTTCTGGGAACACAATGGCCGATCTTGCTGCTAAGATGGTGATCTACCTTCAGTTGTTGGCGATATATAGCCTATTTTTATATTGTGTTGTCACCTATAGTTCAAATATTTTAGATTTAATTACTAGTTTTACATGTATATCTGTGATATTCTAGTTGTTTTACTGTCCTTCGTAGGCAGGTTGTATAATCTACATCTATTCCATTTCAATGTATAATGTTCACGTCACGAAATGGCTGAAATATTGCCGATGTGACGTTAAATATTAACTCACTCACTCTTGCTGCTAAGGCAGCACTCAATAAATCTGTGACACCACTTCTTATTCCATATTCTGATTACAAAGCTAGCATTAGAACCTACATCCGTGATCTAATGCAAAAGAAGTGGGACCCAAGTAGGTATTAACAAATTACATGAAATAAAACCTTATATTGGTTACACCTACTTGGGTTGTCAGTCCAGATTTGAAGAGGTCATCATGCGACGATGTCGCCTTGGCCACACCAGGTATACTCATGAATATTTGTTAAAAGGCGAAGATCTTCCGTTTTGCATCCCTTATGATGAAAGAATAACGGTCAAGCATGTCCTGCTTGACTGCAATGATTTTTCCATCACAAGGGATGAATATTTTAATGTCAAAACAATTAAGGATCTTTTTTATAATGTTATAATCATTTAATAATAGAATTTTTAAAGGAAATAGAATTATTGCATAAATTTTGAATAATATGTTTTGTAAATAGATAAATGGTATTTTAAACATGGTAGTATGAATCAGCAACTGCGATTGTTAGTGGCTGTATCCTCAAAGGGGGTGAAAGTATCGTAAGATCATTGTCCTCCTGAAAGGGTACGTAAGTCCCAAACACTTTCAAAGTCAATTTCGCACAACCATACTTTTTAATCGTAGTATTTCTGTTATTTTAACTTTCGGCTAAGTCTTCCTACATCGCCAGCGGCTGAAGGGATGGTGTAAATCCAGCTAGGGTCCATGCAGGTAGCAAAAGTAATGTAAGTCCCCATGGTTCCTAGTATGGTGATCTACCTTCAGTTGTTGGCTATCTATAGCCCATGTTTTATATTGTCTTGTCTTCTTTAATTAAAATCTTTTAGTTTGACATGCTAGTTTTATGTTCATATATGTGATATTCTAGCATTTTTACTGTCCATCGTCGACAGGTTTTACTCTCCAAAATGTTTTCATTTTTAATTGTATAAATTGGTTTCGTCACGAAATCGCTGAGATATTGCCGATGTGACGTTAAATATTAACTCACTCACTCACTAAATCTTAACTGCGATCCTTCGTAGCCTAGTGGATAAGCCCGCCAAGCTATTAAGCGAATGGCTGCAAGTTGGAAACAAGGCATCGGCACAATATATTGGAAGTTTTCAATAATGTGATATTTTAATTTTTAATGTGATATTCAGTAATAGCAAGACAAAGTTATATCAAGCTGCAAAACTTGTGCAAGTAAAATAATTCAAAGTTGGGGCTATTCCTCAGAAAATCCCAGGGCATTCTGTGGAAAAAAACCGGGATTTCTTGGAGAATGCCCGCGAAACTGCTTGTACAGGTTTACACGGTAGGGGAACCTGGCGAGACAATAAAGTGACGTCACTTGAGGTTTATAAAACCTTTTCATTATATTGTCCGTTGACAACATGATTCTATATGTTACATATATATTTTATATATATTTTTGTAGTCACGAAATAATGCCGGTAAAGATTTCAACCCATTCTTCCTTTTGTTTGGTTCCAAATGTTCTGGTTTGTTTACAGGCTACAGCCGCAGGACAAGAGTACTCTCCTATGTTTGACATCAAAGAAGCAATGTCTATGAAGGAGTGTTTGTCGCGGTCTGTTGGTGGGTTAGGACATGCTAACCCTTTGGGCGAACACCCAGTGGCATCACCGTAATTTAGCGTCAATCCATAATTAGCTGTATAATTCTCATAGATATTTTAATTTTTGCCCTCTACGCCAAATGTGGAATGTGTGTCGGCATTTATTCACTTGCACTGGCATTCTTTGTTTGCTCATCGATTATTTCCCATGATAGTGAGTGATGAACCGAAACCTACATATTCCTGAGTACAATGTATACCTGACTTAAGTCA